AAAAAGTGAGGCGGTGAGGCAGGTGAAGAACAGTAGCTCATGAGGACGAGAGTAATACAGTCCGCGGAACGAGGAGAACAGGAATAACAGTACAGACAAACAAGGACAAGTATCACGATAACATGTCGTGGAACTCCAGCAGTTAGTGCTAAGCATCTAAAAACTGAAATAAGGACCCCTTGAGGCTCAAGTGGGGCTCTGAGCTTCGACCGCTCCTCAGATCCTGGCCGGGGAAAGTTGCCAGCGAGGCCAGCGGCCAGAGAAGCCCCCTCGTCCCGAAAAGCTGGCCCCTATCATAAGGATGCGCGGTAAGGATGCAAGGGCCTTGGACGCCCATGCCGAGGCTTTTCGAGCGGAGCGCGGCCAACGAAAGTGCCCAAGGATGGACCCAAGGGGCAAGGATGCAAGGGTAGCCTTGGGAAGGCAGCCAATTCTTACCCCGCGGGTTGACTGCATTCAGAGCTTTTTCCCCCGAGCAAGATGACCGTAGGCCGGCGATGGAGAAACAAGCCTTTGGAGGTCCGCACTGATTCCTGGGATCGGCGCTGGACCCCCTCTGACGTTAGGTCGGGTATGTCCTCCTACAAGGGGATGTTGGACAGCAGTCGAAACTATTCAAATAAATATACTCAGAACTACTACTAAGAAATCTCCCAGTAAGAAATTGAGATCCAGCTTCGCTGAATTGCTGGGATCTCTTGCGAGAGCCAGCTTTGAAGCGTGCAGTTTCTTAGCGCAGCGAGGCGCCAGTGGTGGTTTCGATAAAGATTGCGCCGGTGATGATGCCGGGCCCGGGCCTCTGCAGCCATGTATGCAACATAACATGCAGGAACATGTGGAGAAAGATGTGGCGGGGGATCCGGACGAAGACCAGAGGGAAATTTGAAGGAACATCTGGAGGAACATATGGGGAACATCCACAATAGAGGAGATATCTCGAGGAAGACCCCGGTGAAGATCTGGGTGAAGATCTGGACGCCGATTTGGAGAAGATCTGGGGGAAGATCTGGAGGAAGATCTGGAGAAACATCTGGTGGAAGACCAGGGGGATATCTAGAAAAGCGAGGAAGAACCAGGTGAAGATCTGGGTGAAGATCTGAGTGAAGATCAGGGTGAAGATCTAGGGGAAGATCTGGGTGAAGATCTGGGGTAATATCTGGAGGAAGATCTAGAGAAAGATCTTGAGGGATAGCTAGCGAAGAGATCCCAGGGAAGATCTGGGTGGATATCCGGGGGGAGATCTGGAGAGGATCTGAGGGGAATCCTGGTGGAAGATTTGGAAAAAAATCTGGGATAGATCTGGAGGAGAGATATCGGGGAAGATCTGGCTAAAGATCTGGGGGAAGATCTGGGAAAGATCTGCAAGATGATCTGCAGGAAAATCTGGAGACACATCTGGAGGAGAGATCTCGACGAAGATCTGGGTGAAGATCTGGTTGAAGATCTTCAGGAAGATCTGGGGATGATTTTTGGGAAAGATGTGTGGGAAGATCTGGAGAAGCATCTGAGCAGGATCTGGAAGGGAAAAGTTTGGAAAGGTCTGGGCGAAGATCAGGGTGAAGATCTGGGGGAAAATCTGAACGAACATCTGGGGGCAGATCTGGAGGAAGATCTGGGGAGAGATCTGGGGAAAGATCTGAAGGAGAGATTTCGGGGAAACTCTGGGTGAAGATCAGGGGCGCTATCTGGAGAAGATCTGGGGCAAGATCTGGAGGAAGATCTGGAGAAAGATCTGGGGGAGGATCTGGAGGAGAGATCTCGGTGAAGATCTGGGTGAAGATCTGGTGTTATATCTGAAAGAATACATTAAGGAAGAACCGCGGGAAATCGGGATGAAGATATCGGAACATATCTTGCCGGAATATCTGGAGCAGGATTGGGCTGAACATCTGGAGACAGCTCTGGGGAGAGATGTAGACGATGATCTGGAAGAAGATCTGGAAACCCAGAGGAAGATCTGGGTGGCGAAATGAGGAAGAAATGGAATACATCCAAACGGAAAATCAGGAGGAACAATGACGGAAGATCTGGGGGAAGATCTAGGAGAAGATATTGGGGAAGAGCTGGAGGAAAGTCTGGGAAGAAATCTAGGACAACGTATCGGGGAAGATCTGGAGGAAACTCGTGTAAACAATTTGAACAATATGAATGAACATCTGGGTGAAGATCTGGGGAGACAGCCGGGCAAATATCCAACGGAAACCCTGGCGGATAAAAAAAACACACAAGATCTGGCGGACAACCTGGCGAAAGATCTGGAGAAATACAAACGGAGATTTGGAGGAATATCTGGGGAAAGATTTGAAGGAAAATCTGTTGGAAAGGAACTGTAACAATAGATGTTGAGATTATTATTGGGAAAGGATATGGAAGGACATCTAAGACAAATATCTGGCCTAAAGCCTGGAGGATGGTATGGACGCAGATCTGGAAATGACTTCGGATGATACTGAAGAGGATCCAGCCGCCCTCGCCGCTCTGCACTCGTGCTCGAAATCCAGAAGATCCAGAAGATCTAGAAGATCCGGGGGAAGATCCAGAAGAACCCCGAGAAGATCCAGAAGATCCGGGAGAAGCTCTGAGCGTAGATCCGGAGGGAAATCTGGAGGAAGATCTGGGAGAGGATCTGGGGAAGATCTGGGCAGATAAACTAGGAAAATCTAGAGGAAGATTTGGAGGAACATCCGGGGAACATCTGGGAAGATCAGGGGAAGATTTGGGAGAAAATCTGGAGAAAGATCTGGGGAAGATCTCGGAAGTTCCGGGGAAGATCTGGAGAAAGATCTGGGAAACATCTGGAGGAAGATCTGGAGGAAGATCTGGGGGAGATCTAGGAAGATCTGTGGAAGATCTGGAGGAAGATCGGGGGGGAGATCTAGGGGGAGATCAAGAGGAAGGGCTCGAGGAAGATCTGGGAGAAGATCCAAAATCCGGAGGAAGATCGGAAGATGCCAGCGTTAAGAAACTGGGCCAACTTCTGGGAATCCGTGACCAACACTTTAAAAATTGTGAGACCCAGCTTGGCGGGAGGGAGCTTCCCAACAGAAGATATCAGCGTATGCAAACAGCAAAAACTTGTCAACAAATCGTCCCCCCAGTATTTTTCACAATTCTCGAATATTCCTACGTACTGTAAAGGGACATGCCCAACTTAACCCTGACGCGCGGAGCTCGCCAGGGGCGGCGCCAGGGGGGGGGGGGGCAGCGCAGGTCCTCGGAATCCGCGCGGACCGTCACAAGTTCATTCTTGTGCAAGTTCTACTCCCCGGGGGGGGAGGTGAGGTGCGAGGGGCCCGCGCCGATCGGCAAAACAACGAATAAGAAAACGATCCCATTTTTCCTGCACGCCGACTGCTGTTCCGCGGAGTCCTGCTCTGCCGGCTCCGCCTCCTTGATCTCCCGGAGGCGCTCCTCCACCCACGCGTCGAGGTTTAGCGCCGCCGGGGTCAGGTGCTCCTGGGGATACCAAAAGGGAGCCTGTCGTTTTTCAGATCCAGGCAAGTTTACTTGCATGGCGTTCGCCCCCCCCCCCCCCCCCCCCCCTCGCTCCTCTTCAAACGGATACGTACTTACTACTGTGCAAAAGCTCTTCGACTTGCGTGATTTCCGCACGTGCAACTCGCTTGCGGCTTGCTTCAGGTTCTGGCCCCCACCCCCATCTATGCAAGTACACTTGCGGGGGTCTTAGACAAACAGGCTCAGGTACCAATACCGCTAGTCCCCGGACCTCTCCCATGGTGCGTTCTGATGAGAATTTTGAGGCGAATCCAGCGCTGGCGACGAGGCCCCGCAGGAGGCCAAAAAAGGGGGAAACGGCCGAAGGGTACCGGTGCGGGTACCTCCTCCTCTGAGCTCCTGCATGCGCTCGCGGTGCATCTTCAGGATGTCCGGCTGTAACATGTAGCAGGTCGCGGCGTAGCACCTGTCGGGTCGGACGAAACTCAGCCGCGAGTCTGGGGGGTAAGGCAGAGGGGCCGGGCCTCCTTGGAAGGCTCTGAATGCTTCCTGCCGTCTGAGCCCTGTTAGCCTCCTCCGAAGATTAGAGGCGGCTCCTCAGAAGGCTGGAAGGCTTCTGAGACGCCCCGCCGCTTTCTGAGGAGGCCTGCCCCCACTCACATCCCCCCCGCGCGCGCCGCCGACAAACGGGTGGGGGTTGTATTGTTTTGTTTTAGCCTTTTTGATCTACACAGTTATGCGTACATATATATATATATACATATATATATATATATATATATATATACATGTATAATAATCGTCCCACCTGATATAAAAAACGGTACCAATGCAAAGGGGGGTGGAACGAATCAGCTCACGCATGCCTGGCTTCCCCGCCGCCTCCCGGCGACCGAGGCGCCCATCGTAGGAGGCAACTCCCGAGAGGTCTAACGCGAGACCGCGTCAGGGCTGTTACGCTCGATTCAAGTAGGCAGCTAGACTGGACCAGCCAAGCCTGGGCGCAGGACCTGGCTCTTGCACGAGGCGGGGGCGAGAGATACAGGGAGCATGGTGAGGATTAGGAGGGTGCTCTCTCGGTGCCATGGGGGAGCCTTTTTGAGCCACGATGGGGCGACACGGGTACTGCAGGTCCGTGCCGTGTCGACCCTGGCGTTGGTTCCTGACACCGCGCTGGATCGTTCAACCTTGAACGATCGGCCGTCACCGCAACGTCCGATCGTTCAACATCGACCGATTCTGGGCCGCCGTCGGCGTTCAACGTTGAATGTCGGCGGCGGGGTCGCCGCCGGTCGACACGACGCGAACCTACCGTACGAAGATGAAGGATAAAAGGGATCCGAGCTCTAGGGCCAAGGGGCGGAGGAACACAAAGGCCGGTGATGAGCCAGGGAGAGGGAACCACCCTGGGAGGGGGGGGGGGCCATGGAGGCCACAGGTGGGTTTCGCAGTCCAGGATGGAGGAGGCCAGGGGGACCAGGGGGGATGGACGAACCACGACCACGACCACAACGCAATCATAAAGGTTCTGGGGCCCAGGGGGTTGGGAGGCCAGGGATGGGTTCCGCGGCCCAGGAAGGCGAGCCCATGGGGTCGGGGGGCACGCACGCGTGACTCTTGACCAGGGGAGGGGAGGGCCACGGCCTGAGAGGGGGCAGGCCATCAAGGGAGGGGGGGAAGGGAGGGCGGGGACGAACGACCACGAAGCGAAAGAACGGGCAGAGGGCCACGGCCTGACGGGGAGGCAGGCCAGAGGGGGGCCGGGCGAAGGGCGGGGGGCGACAGGTAGCCGTGGCCCTGGACGAGGGGGCCGGTCTAGGGGCGTGGCGTGGGGGGGACAAGCAGCCGTGGCCCTCGGGGGAGGCTGCTGCGGCCTGAGGGGGGCAGGCCGTAGCAGCCTCAAGAGCTGCCCCTGAGGCTGCTACGACCTGAGGCGGGCGTGGACGCGGGGCCAGTGCGCGAGCCCTGGGCGGGGGGGGAGGGGGCCACGGACCGAGAGAGGGGCCTGGGGCCGCTGCCTGGCAAGGCGGCACGCCAAGGGCCAGGGGTCATGGGCGGGGGGGGGATGAGGAGGAGAAGGAAGAGGAGGATGAGGACGAGGAGGAGGAGGAGGGCGAGAAGAAGGAGGAGGAAGAAAACGAGAGAGGAGGAGGAGGAGGAGGAGGACGAGGGAGGAGGCGGACGAGGGAGGAGGAGAAAGAGGAGAAGGAGGAGGAAGAGAAGGACGATGGAGAAGGAGGAGGAGGAGGAGGAGGAGGAGGATAATCAAAAAGAGGATGAGGAGGGGGAGAACGAGGGAAGATGAGGAGGAGGAGGAGGAGGAGGAGAAGGAGGAAGAGGAGGAGACGGGATGATGATGATGATGGATGATGATGATGATGCTGGATGATGATGATGATGATGATGATGATGAGGAGGAGGAGGAGGAGGAGGAGGAGGAGGAGGAGGAGGAGGCCAAGAAGGACGAGGAAGGAGGAGAAGGAGGAGGATAAAGAGGAGGAGGACGAGAGAGGAGGAGGAAGAGGAGGAGGCGGAGGAGTATGAGGGACGAGGAGGAGAAGGAGGAGGAGGAGGAGGAGGACGAGGGAGGAGGAGGATGAGGAAGAGGAGGAAGAGAAGGAGGAGCAGAAGAGGAGGAGGAGGAGGAGGAGGAGGAGGAGGAGGAGGAGGAGGAGGAGGAGGAGGAGCTCTGGACAGGCGGCCACGGGCTCTGGACCAAGGGGCAGAGGGCCACAGTCTGAGGGGGGGCATGCCAGGGGCCCGTGGGATGGAGGGGGAAGGGCGGGCACGAACGACTGCGATCGAACGAAGGAACGCACGAACATACAAGGTCGGGGCATTGGGTCGGGGAGACGTAAGACTCGGGTTCGGCGGACTCGGGCTGGCCTGACGGGTCCATGAAAACGACGAGACCCAATCTGAAATGTGACGCGAGCTCCCGCTGCAGACACCCCGCAAAAATTGGACCGTCAGAATCCAGGACGCGCTCGTCGGACAACGTCGGCCAACCCGAGCCCCGGCGTCCTCGAGTCTTGTGTTTCCCCGATTGGGGGTGGCCGAGGCCAGAGGAGCAGAGCAAAGCAGCACCAACGGTCCGATGCGGTCCCTCTCACTGCCGACGCAGCCGGGGCAGCCGAGCACAGGAGGATGACGGACCAGGCGCTCGAGAACCACTCGAGGGGCCCCATGGTGTCTGTAGGGCCCGGCAGGGGGAGACCTCCGGCAGAAGCGAGGCCCCCGAGTGTGGACACCTCGCCGTCGCTCGGACGTCCATTCCCTGTGTTTTGTTCGGTTTCGTGCGAGGATGCTCCTCGATGGTCCTCGCCGAAGGAAACATGCACACGTCCGAGCGATGCCAAGACAGCTTGGGGGCGGTGAGGGGTGGACGGGGGGCCCTGGACGTGGGGGCTGGCCTGAGGGGCGTGGGGGGGGGGACATGCAGCCGTGGCCCATCGGGGGGAGGGCGGTGGCGGCCTGGAGGGGGGGCAGGCTATAGGGGGCAAAGGGGGGGGGGGGGGGGGCCAAGCCGGAGGGAGGCGGGCGTGGGCGGGGCGCCGGCACGCGCGGCCCCGGGCGAGGGGGGAGGGGGCCACGGCCCGAGAGGGGGGCCGAGGGCCGCGGCCCGACAGGGGGGGGGGAGGCCCGGAGCCCTGGCCTCGGGGGAAGAGAGCCCCGGGGAAGAGGCCCGGAGCCCTGGCCTCGGGGGAAGAGCGATGCGGCGCGATCCGATCCTCCGACCCCATCTGCTCGGGCCCCATCGAGGAGGCCTAGACAGGAGCCCTGGACTCGGGGGAAGAGGGCCAGGACCTGAGGGGAGGCAGGGCCCGCGGCAGGGGGGGGGGAAAGGGCACCACGAGCGCACGAGCGAGCAGAGAGATGTTCGAGCTCCAGGGCACAGCTGCGCAAGAGAGGCATGTCAGGCTGGGAGGGATCCCGAAGCTGGAGAAGCGCCAGGGATAGACGAAAGCGCCCTGGAACCTCGAACTACCCCTTGGTAGACCCCCTATCCCACAATCCCCTTTGGAAGCGGCTGGGTGTGACCTGGATGGGCCCTGGGAATACCTGCCAATTCAGGGACAAGGGTTAATCCGCCCAAAGTCGGTGCCCAGACTGCTTCTTGGGTCCATCTGGTGCTGTTTTTCAACCCCGGATCCGTTTTGGACGGTCACGGCCCCCACGGAGCGATAAGGGCAAAAAACGTCCCCGAGCCCAGAACCTCGAGTCTCGCTGGTCGGAGCCAACGCTGAGACTTCCTCCGACCCGAACCTGTCCCGGCCTCCGGGGGCGGACAGCGCGCAGGACAGCTGGTCGGTCCGCACGATCACGGCGGCGCCCGGCGCGACGAGCAGCTCGACCCCGGGGGCGTCCTCGTCGTAGGGCTGCAGGTCCATCAGGCCCGCAGCGGGCCCCAGGAGGACAAGCACCATCACCTCTGGGAGCAGGACACACACATACATACATACATACATGCATGCATGCATGCACGCATGCATGCATGCATGCATGCACACATGCATATATGCATACATACATACATACATACATACATACATACATACATACATACATACATACATACATACATACACACATACATACATACACACATACATACATACATACATGCATACATACATACGTGCATGCATGCATGCATGCATACATGTATGCATGCATGCATACATACGTACGTACGTACATGCATGCATGCATGCATGTATGCATGCATGCACGCATGCATACATGCATACATGTATACATGCATACATGCATGCATGCATGCATGCATGCATACATACATGCATGCATGCGTACATACATACATACATACATGCATACATACATACATACATACATACATACATGCATGCATGCATGCATGCATGCATTCATGTATGCATACATGCATACATACATACATAACTACATGTATACATGCATACATACATACATGCATGCATGCATGTCTGTATACATACATACATACATACATACATACATACATACAGGCATGCATGCATGCATGCATACATGCATACATGCATGCATACATGCTTGTATGCATACAGGCATGCATGCATGCATGCATACATGCATACATACATACATGCATACACACAAACATACGCATGCATGCATGCATGCATGCATACATGCATGCATGCATGCATGCATCCATGCATACGTACGTACATACATGCATGCATGCATGCATGCATACATGCATGCATGCATACATGCATACATGCATACATGCATGCATGCATGCATGCATGCATACATACATGCATGCATGCGTACGTACATACATACATACATACATACATACATGCATGCATGCATACATGCATACATGCATACCTACATAACTGCGTGCATGCATACATGCATACATGCATACATGCATACATACATACATGCATGCATGCATGTCTGCATACGCACATACATACATACATACATACATACATACATACATACACACAGGCATGCATGCATGCATGCATACATACATACATGCATACATGCATGCATCCATGCTTGTATGCATGCATGCATGCATGTATGCATACATACATACAGACACACATACATACATACATGCATGTATGCATGCATGCATACATACATACACGCATACATGCATGCATGCATACATGCATACATACATGCATGTATACATACAAACATACATATATACATACATACACACACGTGCATGCATGCATGCATGCATACATACATACATACATGCATACATACATACATACATCCATGCATATATACATACATACGCACATCCACACACATACATACATACATACATACATACATACATACATGCATGCATGCATGCATGCATGCATGCATGCATGCATGCATATATATATATATACACTCAGGCGTGCGGGCCTTCGACCGAAGCATCGCGTCCCTATCTGGTTGAACGTCTCACGCTTGCGGATCTACTCAGAAGAACGTTCACTTTTCGGCGGCGAGCATGAGGGGGGAAGTGAGAAGGAGAAGGCTTTCTTGGAAGGCGGCGGGACTTCTCAGAAGCCCTGGCGCCTTCTGAGAAGCTTTCTGTGTCTCTGGCGAAGGCTCATAAACTTCTCAGAAAACCTGAGGACTCCGAGCCTTCCGAGAAGGCCCACCCCTTCCCGCTTCCTATCTGGGCTCGCCGCCGACCTATATATATATGTGTGAATATGAGAGAGAGAGAGAGAGAGAGAGAGAGAAACAAAAAAAAGAGGAGAGAGAAGGAGAGAGAGAGAGAGAGATGCTGGCTGAGCACGTCATGTCGTGGTCACGTTCCTGCCCCCCCCCCACAACCTTGCGCGTGGCGAACAGGCCCGCGTAGTCGTGCGCCTCGGTGGCACGCGCACAGGGCAGACGCAGAAGCCTTCGGGGGCCCGCGCGGAGGCCCTGGACCTGGATCGGCGCGGTCCCCCCCTATTCTGGCGCTAGGTCGTGCATGTCCCCCCACAGGCGGATTTGGGAAAAATCAGCAAACACTCAAACATACTCAAACATGGTCAGAACTATGAAAAAGTGAAATTCGTCCCCAGACGAGTTGTTGACTCTTTCGGAAAATTCCTCCTGTAGAGAGACAGGCCAAGAGATCCGCGCGGACCTTCCGAAGGCTTGCGTGCTGTACAAACGCTTCCTGCTTCGGGCCTCGGCGTCCGTCAGCTCGGCGTCCTCGAGCTCCACGCCTCCGGCCTCGTGCAGACACCCTCGGCTGCGGCTCGAGCAGCGGAAGCCGCACAGGTCCTGGGTCGAAGCGACGGCGTCACAGAGCCGGCCCATCTCGTGGTCGATGAGCCGGAACGCCTCGAGCATCTCGCCTTCTCTGAAGGGGCCCTGGGACACACAAATAAATATACACAAATGTCAGGATCCCCAATATTTTCCTATATTTTCTAGGTTTTTGTCTTCCCCCCACTTCCCATATTTTCCCATAATTTCTGGGGAATCGACGATTAATTGTGTCTGTGTTTTTTCCCCTCCTGATTCTCTTCTACACGCAAGAGGGGCCCTAGCTAGGCAAGAGTTGCCTTGGGTGTGCGGCTTTGGGGGCCCGCGTGGACGCCACATCCAAGCGCACAGGCCAGTTCTTGGTGGACCCCCGTTGGGCCGACCTGAGGTCACTCTGGCGAAGGGTCATTCGTATGCGTAGGCGACCTTCCGAATCCTCATCGGGCGACATGCCGGCGATCCGGCAGGAGCCCTCGGGGCCCAGGAGGCCCTCCTGGATCAATGGCGCCGGGCATCGCCACTCCACCTCGTCCGAGCACGCGTCCCGGGCCGCGCTGGCGGCGGAGTCCGGGATCAGGTCGTTTATCAGGCAGTAGCCCTTTGTCTGGAGGCACTGCCCGATGCCCACCGCGGTGCTCCTATTATAGAGGGCCAAACAAGCGGATACACACAGCTTTCGGAGGTCCGCGCAGGTCTCGTGGATCGGCGTGGACCCCCTCCCTGGCGCGCGGAGCGCGCCATGGGCGGCGCGGGAGGCGCCGCAAGAGAGACCCATTGCCGATCCAAGAAATCCGCGCGGACCGTCGAAAGTCAATACAGTCGACCCGTATCATAAGGATGCACGATGGGGATGCAAGGGCCTTGGAAGGCCATTTCGAAGCTCCTCGAGCGGGGCGCGGCCAGCGGAAGTGGCCAAGGATGGACCGAGGAGGCAAGGATGCAACGGTACCCTCAGGAAAACTGCCCATTATACGGACCGACTGCGGTTATGCAGCTGTTTCTTCTTTGACCACCGCGGCGCTCCACTCGCTGCCCGCCACGACGTCGCTGGGTGGCCTCTGCCCCTGGCGGGGCCTCGCCAGGTACGTGTAGCTAGACATGGCCAAGCGCGGCCGCTCGGCCTGCCCACGCCTGCGGCGCGCAGGCGCCTGCTGGCGGGAGCGCGCCTTGACCCGGGTGGCCGCGGACATTTTTTCGCCGGCGGCGCGGCGGAGGCAATCCGCGCCAGCGTGGGGCGAATCCGGGGCACCGATCGGCAAAGTGTCTGGCATGCAAAAAAGAGGAAGAGAAAGAGAGAGAGAGAGAGACAGAGAGAGAGAGAGAGAGAGGGAAAAGAGAGAGAGAGAGAGAGAAAGAGAGAGAGAGAGAGAGAGAGAAACAAAGAGATGCGAAAACGAGGGCGGCTGCGCGAAGGTTGGAGGGGGAGGGCGCTCAGACGTGGAAGAGTTCCGCGGTGAGCGGGCCAGAGCGGCCAGCCAGGGCAGCGGGGACCGCGGCGAGGCCGCGGACACACGCTTGAACGAGGAAGAAAGTCTGGCATGGACATGGATTGTCGGACCTCTGCGCGGATATTTTTTGGATCGGCGCCGGGCCCCCCCTGCCGCGCGCCGCGGCGCGCCGGGGAGGAGGGCCCAGCGCCGAGCCAAGAGATCCGCCAGAAATATCGGGAAATCAATCATCCGCCCGTCTCCCCTCCTCCAGCGCTCGCACGCGCATGCGCGCAGGGGGAGCGGGACAAGGGGAGCGCCTGGACGGGGCCGGGAGTCGGGGGAGGGGGGCACCAAAAGCAGCAGGGGCAGCGAACGAGGGAGAGGATGGGTCCATGGGGAGGATGGGGGGGGCGCGGAGGAAAGAGGTATGGGAAAAACTCGGCAAAGCGAAACTCGGCCAAACTGGATTCGGCCAGGCTGGACTCGGCCCCGGCCGAATTCACCCTGGCCGAGCACAGCCTGGCCGAGTTCAGCGGGGCGAGTTCAGCCTGGCCGGGCCGAGTTCCACATGGCCGAGCCTTATTCTGTTGTCACGGGGTGATGTCAGCTTGTGATTAACAAATCCGTGGGGGGCGCGTGTTTTCGTTGTTTGTTAAACGTCCCTGCTCGGGCGAAACGCGGGGTGGCGCCCGCCATACAAAAAAACAACGGCGGCGGCGCCCATGATTAGCGCCGACGCCCAGGCGCCAGCGAGAAGGCGACAAACAGCACAGACTGTGGGAGGGGAAAGGGGTGGGAAGCATAGGCGGCAGAAACAGGGACCGTGAATCAGGGCGACACATGCTCGAAAATAAGAAGAACAAGTGTCGGCGCTCGCCCACGCACTTTCCGTGCTCTTTTCTGTCGAACCTCTGTTCTGTCGAACCGATGCGCTTCCATTGCCCTGGCCGCGGCCAGGGGGGCGCCAGCTGCCTCACGGGTCCGCGAGCAAGGCGGGCTGGACGAAAGGGGGGCGTGGCCAACCGGGGATTTGCCCACCAGCTCACATTGCTGCTTTTCCGACCGCCCTCTGGCGCCGAAAGCGGCCACGCATCGAGGACTGGCCCCTCGGCGGGGCGACCGAAACCACCTGCGAATAGCAGGTTTCGCAAACACCTTTTTCCTTCCCCAGCCTTTTCGTCCGACCCGCGCAAGGCGGGATGTCCTCCTCCCCCGCTCTGTCGTGGCCTCTGCAATCGTCGACGACGACGACGACGAAGACGAGGACGAAGCCAAGCACGAGGACGAGGACGACGGACGGCGGACGGCGACGGCGGCGACGACGACGAGTCACTGCGGATGCGCCAGGGGGGTGCTGCGAAGGCCCGCTGTAGCCGACGACGGCGACGACGACGAAGACGACGACGACGATGAAGAAAACGACGGCGACGACGGCGACGACGACGATGACGACGACGCACTGCGGATGCCCTATGGGGGGGAGGGGGGGGGGCTGCGCAGGCCCCGTGACGACGACGACGACGACGACGACGACCCGAGCAAGGCGGGCAGTCCTCCTCCCCCCCCTCTGTCGTTGTCTCTGTAGTCGTCGACGACGACGACTACGACAACGACGACGACGACGACGGCGGCTACGACGACGACGACGACGATGCCTGAGAGGAGGAAAACATCGCCTCGGATCTGTAATTGCGACCCCAATAACAACTTCTGAACATGTTGAGGTTGTGATGCAGGGGGGTACACGATCCCCTCGGCGGCGCCCGCGACGACCCCGTGGCGCGCGTGATTAAAAAAACATGTTTCGCGCCCCGCGGGGTCTATGCATCAGCCCAGGGGGGTACGCATTTGTTAACCCATTTTGGCTCAAGCGATCGCATTTGTTTAGCTGCCCCCCAGGGCCTCCCCTTGCTAGACGTAGATGAGCGCCATAGTTGCTGATGGCCCCTCCCTTGTGGCGGCGGCTGTGCAGGCGGCGATCCGGGAGCACGCGCCGAGGCGCACTGTTGCTGCTGTGGCTGCTGCGGTTGCGGGCACTGTGATGTCTGCGGCTGTGCGGCCCTCTGCGCCAGCGACCCTGCACAAGGAGCGAGCTCAGGATGCACAGGGCAAAGCTGAAGACTCCGATGATCCTGCTCAATTGTTGGAGGAACTTCGGGCTGCGCGTCGAGACCAAGGTTTACGAAAGAGGAAGAAACGCCCGACGGCCAAGCAGGCCATGATGGCCATAGATGGTCCAGGCTCTCCTCTTCTTCCTGATGGCCTTCAGCCTCGCGTTGAGGCCATTCCACATCTAGCAGGTGCAGCCGGCCAACGCGCAGACCTCGGGGAAAGTCTTGCTGCAGAGCCCGCTCTGGCACCTGCTCTACGTCCGGACCGCTCTCGTTCACCCCCGCATCCCGGACGTACCCCCTCTGATCAGCACGCCGCCGGTTCAGCCCCGCCTTTCTCGGCGCGCACACTGCGACGAGCTCAGACAGCAGATGAGGCGAGTTCTTGCCACACTCTTGGGAGATCTCTTCTAGCGTCATCTGTTCCAGACCCAGATCATTCTCAATCTCGGGCGGATCCGAAGGGCGCTTCGGCAAGGAAACCGTCCTTTGGCCGTGGTGAAGGCGCCGGCGGTTCTAAAGCCAGTCGACCTGAGCCTTACACGGGACAGAAAAGGAAACAGCCTGCTTCAAATTCTGTTTGCGCGGTAGCCATCCATGTTGCCGCTTCCTTACGCGTTCATGTATCCAGTTGGGTGGCTGCATGCGTCAAGCATTCTGCACAATTCTTGAGTCTAGTACTACAAGTTCTTGAGGCAGTACATCTTCTGAGGGGTGTTGTTGTTTCCCTCTGCGTCTTCGTATGCCGAATGCGAGCTTCTCTTTGGCAGCGTTTGGCTGCTACAGGCGTCCACTTGCCTTACTCGTCTGTTTTTCCAGAGGTCAGGCAGCCCCTGACTATATCCATACACGCACTTGTTAACCACAAGCTGACCCGATGCGAGGACATCGGCCATTGGGGGGGCGTTGACGGGACTGCGCAGCAAATCAAGGCAGCTTCGGAGGAGGTTTGCAGGACCCTCGCGGACAACGGCTTGGCGTACGACAAGATGGTGCCAGCACAGAAAATGTGGGGATCCAGCCGATAATAAAACCATTCGCACGGGACCTTCGAGCGAGAAAGCCCACCACATGGCAGTACGGGGCAGGAGGGAGGGCACATGGCGGACGAGGAAGCAAGAGCAAGGGGAGAGGGGATACGAGGCGGCAGAACAGGCCCCACATCGGAAGAGACAGGACCAGAAGCGACGGACGCGGGCGACAGACCGACGGCTGGGGGCGGGAGAAAGAGGGCGCCCTCAGGTGGCACATAATACATAATATTGTTTTCGCAGGGTGTTGTTGCTGCGTCATCCCAGCGGTCAGCCTGCGTCAGGGGCAAGGCCATCCTATCTGAGACGATGGCGCGCTGAAGATTGCTCTGGAGGGCAAATCGGGAATATCTGAAACGCCAACGGGTCTGGAGGACGCATCGTACGCTGGGCCGTTCCAGACTTCTCCAGAACGGCCTGAGAGCGTCATGGAACGCTCTGGAACGCCTCATCTCTATCCTGGGCCTGCGCCTGACTATCCCCGCCCATTCCCGCACCTAACGACGTCGTGCACAAACAGGAAGCATCCCTAGCCGATCCACTGCCTGCGCGAAATAGGACGGAGCCGTGCCTGCACCGCTCGGGGCACGGCGGCGACAACGGACGTGCAGACGCGGAGGGGACGAGGCTGGCCAGGTCGCCGGTGAGGGTGCCTGAAGGGGCCCAGGGGAACAAGTTAATAGACACAAATCCCAGGATTCCCACTACTTTTTCCATCGGAGGTTGGGGGTGACATCGCAATGGATCGGAGAGCCCCTCACCAGGAAACCGGTTTCGGTTTTGTGTTCGCGTCGTGCGTGCGAGCGAAACTGCGGGGGTTCGAAATGACCCCGCCGTGGACCGCCCCTCCGCCCCAGGTGGGCGCGCGGTGGCCTGGGGTGTCCCGCCGTGGCGTCCTGTGTCCGTTGGTGTCCCGTTGGTGTCCCGTTGGTGTCCCGTCGGTGTTCCGTCGGCGGTGGGCGGGCGGTGGTCGGGGGCGTCCCGCCCTGTTATCGGCAGTTGAGTGGAAAATGAAACCGATCGATATGTAAGCGCAAAAGACGCGCGCTCCAACAACAGCGAGCGCGCAGGAGAAACTGGAGCGCTTAGTTGAGCCCGCAAAGCGCTCTGGCTACTAGCGCGCAGTGCACTTGAAGGCGATGGCACGAGTGCAGGAAAACCATCAAGCGTCAACCACCACAGTCAGCAAGCATTCATCACAGCGCAGTGGCGGTGGTACTGAGTCGTGTCGGTGCTGTCCCGATGGTGTCCTCATCGTATTCAGCGCCCTTCAGTGTGAGATCGCTAATGGGATCGAGCGCAACATCGTCATCACGCGTCGTCGCTAACCCGAGGGCGCGTCACCAGCATCGTCATCTCCACACGCCTCACATTCGCCAGCAGTTTTTCTTTCCCCCCCCACCACACAACCTCCTTTCATCCGAACGGTGGTCGTACTGGTATGTTCTGCAGTTTCGTTTTCCCCTTCGCTTCCCATATTTTCTCATCTGTTCCTGGGCATCGGCGATCAATGATGTCTGTGTGTCTTTGTCCCTCCTGACTGACGGCGAAGCCACCCGCAAGCGGGCGGAGGGTTCGTGGAGTCGCTCACTGAGAGGGGAAGAGGGAGAGAGCGAGAGAGAGAGAGAGACGCAGAAGGGATGCCTGGAAGGG